ATTGATTTTCTGCGGGTGATGCAAATTTTCATCAAAAGCGAAATCTGCGGAATGAATGAATGGGGAGAGTTCGCAACTGCTTGAGGTACAAAAGTGTCGAGGCTGATCACCAAAGCTTTTTTGGCTTAGAAAAAAGAAGACATTCACTGATCATCAAAGGTTTTTAACTTAAAGATGATTCAATTGTCAACTAACTGGTTGCAGATTGGGCTGGCAAGATGCACACGCGATTCACTTTGCCGCAACAGTTTCTCTCGCAAATGTTCTTCCCAAATATCCCGGCAATGGCCGGTGGATCGTCAGCTGATCCTTCACCCTCATCCTCATCCACAACGATTTCTTCTCCAGCACGTTTATCGTTTGATACGGCGAACACCGCTCATTCCAGCCCGTCGCTTACCACAGTAACAGCAGCAGTAACTGCTACTACTGCTTTTCTAATTGAGGATGAAAAAAGCAATTGTTAGCTACTGCTGCCGCTGCTGCTGCTAGGTTCAGTGATCTGGTGATTCTGTTTCCAAATTTACAATTCGAATTTTAATTAATAACTTTAATTTTCATATGCGTGTTTGTAATTAACGGTGATCCAATCTTATCGGTACGATTGATTGTGTGAGCTTTTTTTGTTCTCATTTATTTGTTGTTTTTAAAAAATCAGATGTGATGCAACAATACAGCACTCAAACGCACTCGGTGGTGAGAATAATTCACTTTCTCAAAAATGTTTTTTTTTTGGTTAAATTTGTCAAAAGTCAAAAAATTCGAACTCCCTTAGTGTTCACTCTCTGTGAAAGGCAAGAAGTGTGGTAGCAAATGCCTACAGCAACCACTCGCTGAGAAGGCTGTCGATGACTACCGTTTCGAGGGTTATTTAAAAACAAGCTGATGGTGGTTTGGCTCTGCTACATAATGCCCGTACCGATTTACGATCGAAACGAATAAAAGAATTGGTTAGCCAATCGGTGGAGCCAATAAATTAGTAATATTTCGAAATTTTAATTATTTCGAGACAAGAAAACATAATTCTCGTTGCGAATGGTATTCAAGAAATGAACGAGACACTACAAAAGGCTTGCAAGGTGAGGAAGTAGGTCTGAAAATTGAAGGTAATACAGAATTCCGGTGTGTTCTCAACTAGCTGTGCTGAGAGATGCTGTTGTTGCGGAAGAAGTTGACAGTTACATCTATCTCAGCTAGGTAGTAAATATGCTTCGCGATGCCTATTGGTGAAGGCACGTCGCTGAAATCCCATTAGCGGGATTTACATAACATGCCTTTAACCTTTCGAAGTGGGCGGACCGTACCCACTACATCGATAATAGAGTACATGAAGACTTTTCAAGCATTTTCGAAGAATTTGTTTTTTAAAGCCAAAACGAATTTTCGCACCCTTGGTTGCGCCAGTCTTTGAGGCAATTTCATTGTGCAAGCCTCATTTGTGTCACTGCGTAATTGCCTCAAAAGACCACTTTTCCACTCCTCCCTACTGCATTGCTACCGGTAAAAAAAAAGATCTGAAATCCAATTTTACTTTACGGCTCCTTGAAAATAGTTTGCAAAAAGTTCACTGTATTCACATTTCAGATGCATTGCGGACCCAGTAATTTAAAAAATAAAGCGTTTGGAACGTTTTGACCGAGAATGTAGCAGTGCGTAAGATCGAGGCATATCCTCCTGGGCTTCCTCAAATTTTATTAAAATAGCTCACAAGCTCAGCATTTCTTGTACTGCATTTGCGGATAAGAAAAAATATTTTTTTGACGCAGAATTGCCATGAAGTAACTCTTTGTGGTCGGGAAGTGGCAATGTTCCGGATGAGCCTGGAACAGCTAAATCCTTGCCAAGTGCTTCTGTCGGAGGAAGAACAATTGAGCTGATAATTTCTTTAGGAAAAAAGCGAATTTCTGGAT